CAGACGCGGCGCTGATGAGCGCGCGAGTCGGCTACCCTGGAACTGCTAACTAGGCCTGCTGTCCTCTGGGATTGATGCTTTACAGACGGGAAGCCTGCTTGGCGAGTCTCGTTGCCTCCCAGACACGCGATCTTTGTCCTTTGTGACTTTCAGGCTACGGGAGTCTTCTTCATTAGAGTCTTGCGTGGATACAGCATGTGTAGACGCGGCGCTGATGAGCGCGCGAGTCGGCTACCCTGGAACTGCTAACTAGGCCTGCTGTCCTCTGGGATTGATGCTTTACAGACGGGAAGCCTGCTTGGCGAGTCTCGTTGCCTCCCAGACACGCGATCTTTGTCCTTTGTGACTTTCAGGCTACGGGAGTCTTCTTCATTAGAGTCTTGCGTGGATACAGCATGTGTATCCAATTTAGGGGTGTTAAAAATAAACGTGTAACGGCTGAAATTCTTAACGATTGCACGTTTACATGCAGGTGGGCAAGCGGGATCCCCCACCTGTCTGCTGTCTGATAGCTGCTTTCCCTCATACTTGTACCCCTGTGTTGCAGTAGAGTTGTGGGGGGAGCAGCACAGCTCTCAGGGAGCCAGTAGGCTTCCAGTTTGTACTGGCTCCCGTCTCCTCTCCTCTCTCTCTCTCCCCTCCCCCCATGCTGCTGCGAGAGGGGGCAGGCAGCTCCTGGAGCTGGCTTAAAAGCTGGCTCTCCTCCAGCACTAGTTCCTGTCGTCCCTCCGCCCCCTTTTTGCTGCTGATACAGAGGCAGTGGGGGCAAGAGCGTGTAACCATTATAATCAACTGATAAACCTGGACTTATCAGTTACTCGTGTAAATGAGTACATGCTAACATGCTTAGTATCCATATTGACATTCTGTCTGCAAAAATGAGCTGCAGATATTGGTATCCACACCCATGGATGTGGGCAGATTTGAAGGGCTGTGCTCTTAACATCTGCTGATAGTAGTCAGCCTTTTTAGATGAGTTTGGGGCTTGTCAGCCCTGGTAGAATAAATCCTGAACCTTAGTGCTAAAATAGCCTTTTCTTGAAAAATGTATATAATTGACTCCCATCCAGAATTGTAGTTTAGACTGATGGCCTGGATCTTAAAGGCATTTAGTTGCCTGATTCCTGTTGAAATCAACAGGAGTCGGGTGCCTAAATATCTTTGAGGCTATGAACCTGTATGACTAATAGTATAGATTCTTTTGTATCCAACATCATGCCTAGGTATCTCTACTGGATCCTTACTAGACCTAAACCATTATATGTTTTTAGATTGAATCTTTGGATTGGAATCAAGACCTTGTGCAGTCAGACTTCTACTGTACTGTAGTTTGCTACTGAATGGGATCTAATGGGAACTGGCTGGTTGCATTTAAAGACTTTAGTCTCGTAAAAGATGTTTTGGGAGGGGACGACTTACCTTTTCAGGTTAATTGTGAAATACCAAACATGCATTATAAGACAGCATCTGTTTTTTACCCTTTGCTGTAATCCTGGGGAATGAATTGTTGCATTTTGCCAATAGCAGGCCAACCCTAATTCAGAAATGTAAGCTCATTGCTGTCAATTACTTACCATTACTGGTCTGTATATTTAAGATTATAATGGAGTGCTGTGTGTAAAGGAACAGGTGTAGTTAACTTAAATAAGAAGACATGTTCATAGCAGAGGGTTGTAAAAACCAAACTCTGCATAATTATTTGCTAAATGCCAGACATCAGTTTTCATGTGTAGCTTGAAGACTGGTAATTTGATTCAACTTTTATGTTGATATTACAATTTTTGTATGTTACGCATCTGAAAATTAGCTATCTCTCTATAACCCAGGGGCACAAAGACTACTGAGAGAGAGTGAAGTCTGCTCAATAGCCTTAGATAAGAGCCATTTGGCATTTAGTTCATGCTTTAGGACACAATGGCTTTAGCCCCTAAGGCTGCAGGTTCAATTCTACCTGTTGATGTCTACAAGCCTTTCTTTTTCTTTATCTTTTTCTCTTTTTCTTTTTCTTTTTCTTTTTCTTTTCTACTCTTAATGTTTGGAGAGATGCCGGTATTATCTCTCAACTAGAAGATTTACCCAGCATTGCTCAGGTCTTTAACTCTCCTATGTTTTTTCTCTTCATTTAATTGTTGTGGGTTGGGGCTAAGGATGAGGGGTTCAGTTTGCAGGCTTCCCTGACGGGAAGACGGCCCCAGCTTTCTCTCAGTGTAGCAGCTTGGAGTGAGGTGAGAAGTGCCAGTTCATTGCTGCTGCAGCGGGTCCATCCAGAGGTGGATGTTTCCTGGATGGAGGACAGACACACAAACTCTCTGTAATGTATAGTAAATAGCTGTCTCTTTCTTAGGGATGTTAAATTGAGTTTAATCAGTTAATCGACTAGTTGATAAGCAGGGAGGCACAGTGGGAGTAGCTCCCAGCCCCGAGAGCTGGCCTCGCTTCAGCTCTGCCTTTTAAATGTATTAAGAGCATGCTGGCTCTTAATACATTTAAAAGTCTGGTGTGCAGCGAGGAGGACCCGGTGCAAGCTGAGACGGCTGATTCCTAGCTCGCACTGGGTCCCCCTTACTGTACACCAGCCTTAAATATTAAAAAGGCTGGAGTGCAGAGCGGGGACCTGGCACAAGCCAGGAATCAGCTGCCCCAGCTCAAGCTGGGTCCCCTCCACTGCGCTTCTGATTTTTAAATGTATTAAGAGTTAGCAGGCTCTTTTTTCATTTAAAAAGCAGAGGCGCAGCATCTGGGACTGGGCACGAGCCAGGAATCAGCTGATTCCCAGCTCTTGCCCAATCCCCACTAAACCCCCTGTGGAGACTGTGCTGGGGGAACTAGCTTTTAAGATGGCTCCCTCCAGCACCAGCTCCTACTAGCCCACCCACCCTTTGCTGCCTCTGATAGACTTATTGAGGGACTAGTCATCTATC